TCTGCAACTTAAATGTTTGAAGCCTAAATTCACTCCTCAAAAATTACTTTTTTGTTTAAAAGTTTTCTCTTTAGGACTGAAAAAAACTCAAGAGGGACTTCCTCACTGGAGAAAGGCTTGGAAAAACCCCAGACCTAAAACTAAACGCAGCGATCTTGGCCAACGGCTTTCTGGCTTCCCCTTGCTATTATTAAGTATCCTTCTGTTTGACTAAGAATCTCTCCACCTCTTCACAGGCCATCTTTTTTTTTTCTCTCTGTGTCCAGAAAAAACGGAAAACCATGTGTTTATAATGAGCCTGTTGCTATGCAAATCCATAAAACATATTACAAAAATCTTTCCTTTGAGTCAGGAGGAAAACAGAAAGGGGGAAGATGAACTGCTCGCGAGAGAGTCCCCTCACTGAACAGAAAAGCTGGCCAAAAGGAAGATGAGGGGAAAAAAAGCAAAATGGGAAAAAATTATGGTGGCCCCATCCCTTGAGTCATTTTAACCAAAAGGGGAAAACTGAAGATTTTGAAAGCCCCACAGTAATGTGTCTTATTCTCTTCTTAATCTTTTTTAATTCCGATGGTTTCATGATTCATCCTCCATCTGTCTGCTAGTGTGTCCTTTTCACAAGTTTTTTCGCACTTCCGTAAGATTGTCAAGAGGTTTTTATTTTTCCCCTTTAATGTGTACTGCTGTGTGTGCTCTCTCCTTTTGATATCTTTTGCCTTCTCATTCAATTATCACCTACCTAACGCTAGGGCTGAATTGTCCCTTTTTTCTCCAAATCAATCATAGCATCTTGGCTGATTTCCCTCACTTACAACCAGATTTGTTCTTCAAAAGTCATGGCCGGGAGAGGAGATGAGACACAGAATGTCAAAATTCATGTCAAAACAACAGAGTGTCTCAATTTCCAAATTTAAAAAACCTGGACTTGATCATTTTAATAAAGTCCATCGCCTTCTTAAACAGTTTGCGACCAGCATCATTCTCAAATTTTTGTTGTGTTGTTCCGTTCACTCTATTAACATGCACGTTTTCAAGGATGGGGCTGTTTGGGAACGAGAAATGAAATACATGCCTTTTAAATGTATCTTCCTTTTGCCCCAAGTGTCTTAATATATATGGGTTCACACACACCCCACAAACAAACAAAAAAACCCAGAGTATTAATTCTAAACACGCTGTCTTTATTCAAGAGAGAAGAAATGGCTAGTCCTGACTAATGCTATGGAACTTGTTTTACTCTCAAATAGAAGGAGCCAAACCATTGCAAACATGTGTTAGGTAAAAACAAGTTTGGTTGGCTGCAGACAAAGGCTTATTTCTTAAGCACAGATGGCTGAATGGTTGCCTCCTCCAACGGGTTGCCCACAATGAAAGGCAGATTTCTACTTCTAATCTATGCAAATATCTGACTCTGAGGGCATCACACAGACTCACTGTTTTGTGTCAGACAGGGCAGATCCCAGGTGCTCTCAGGTGCCAAAGCCCATCTCCCACCTGAGATGCCCAGTAAGGAAACTCCGATAACAGCGGATGGCTGCAGAGTTAGTCACCAACCCTCTTCCTCCTGCGAAACATTCCTCTGGAATCCTGCCCCCTCACCACTGCCTCTCCTCGGCTGCTCTGCCTGGGAGACAGTTTCAGTATTCAGATGGGACCCCAGATGCTTTTCTAAAACCTCCCAAGAAAGCTCAGACTTCCCACCCCCTAAAAAAAAGCTCCTAATGCCTCTGAGTAGCATGAGTCACCTTGAATTCAGCTCATCAATCCATCTCTAACATCAAACCCCAGAAACCCTGAGCATTTAGAAATGTTAGTGGGGGTGGCCGGTTAGTAGTTCAGTTGGTTAGAGCGTGGTGCTGATAACACCAAGGTTGCCGGTTCGATCCCCGCATGGGCCACTGTGAGCTACGCCCTCCCTCAAAGAGTCAACTATGCCATTATAGCATGAAAGCAATGTGCAACCAATGACCATGGCTGTTCCCCAATAAAAAATATAAAAAAAAAATGTTATGCTGTCCACATCAAGTCTCCTTTCTACTCTAGCCTATGTAGGTCTCACTGAATTACACCTGAGTCATTGTTGGTGGCCCTCCACCTTCCCAAAGGTCTGTCATTCCCTTTCTCTTTCCTTTCTCCCTCTATACATTTTCCTTTCTTTACTGACAATACTCCTCTCTTATTTCTCCATCTCCCCAGGTTAAGTCTTTGACATGCTCTCACACCCCTTGGCAGATTCCAGTTTTCCTTTGGGGCAACAAACATTCCCACAATGCTGAAAAAACACACACGCACACCTAGCTCCTAATTTTAAACATTCTTTGCCACGAAGAGAAGGTTATACCTGAAATCTACATAGTTTAGCTCTAATGTTTAAGTCTAAAAATGTCCTTCAAAGTTTTAAGTTATTTCCTTTGTTAGTTTTTCTGATGAAATGACAGTAACGGTTTGCTGAAAAATCCCGTGTTGGAAAATGCTTCTTTCTGTCCCTCCTTACCCAGCTTCATCTTATATGAGCCGAGCTCACTGAGCAAAAAAAATACTCAAGGAAAATGAAAGAAATGCTTCCTAATCTCCAGCCTCGATAACCACCACCACCAAAAACTCTCTCTACCTCAAATTTTGAGATGTCAACACTCTTTGCTTTGTTTCAGCTTCTGACTACAAATATTGACAGTCAAATAATGCATCATTTGTTTTACTTACCTGGAAGATCTAAAACTGTAGAGCACTTTAGAGGTTAACTCATTTATGGATTCCCAAGTCTGGATAAACATCAGAACCACCAGAGGAATAGTATTGATTTTAAACAATACATCCTCCTGATCCCAGCCTTAATCACTCCAGCTCAGACTTCTGGGACCGCCAGAATGTATAAGAATGCTCCAGGTAATTAGGACATACAGTGTTTCCCCGAAAATAAGACCGGGTCTTATGTTAATTTTTGCTCCAAAAGATGCATTTTATTAATTTATTCATATACAAAAGTCTACATTTATTCAAATACAGTCATGTCTGTCTGGCGATCTTAACGGGGGTTTATTTGGGGGTAGGGTTTATATTACGAGCACCCTGAAAATCATGTTAGGGCTTATTTTCCCGTTAGGTCTTATTTTTGGGAAAACACAGTAGCAGGTCCTGTCTGTGTGAGAAGCATTGCTCTATTCCAGCACCTTTCCCAATAATGGCCGTCTCCTCCACAGGACACCACACGGACTAGCCACTGTGTGTACGGCACTTCCAGACACCGGGGTTCTCGCTCTTTTACATGTCTGCTTGTTCCACTTTTATATAGATTTAATTATTAGAAGCTGTGTTCTATGCTGAGCCAAATCACCAAAGTCTTTCGGCTCCTTGAGCTTCATCCATTATCGGCCCTAATTTTGTGTTCCAGAGCCACACAGAGTTCCTTCCCTGCAAGACTCTTCAAATACCCTTAGGCAGCTACTGCACCCTTGCAAGACTTCATTTTTCTAAGCTTAAACGGCCTTATTTCTTTAACCTCAGAAAGCGCAATCTCTGGGTCCCTCGCCATTTCAACGGCTCTTCCTCAAACACAGACCTTACAGAACAAGTCTGTCTCGAGTGACGACACTTCCTTTTTTTCTCACAGATGGAACTTTTTCCAGTGTGCATTAATTTATAGTCTGTGTTTCATCCTTATTATGTATTGCCTTGCACCTAATGAACGGTCCGAGAGCCATGGGTCAGCAAGCACTGATTAACCTAATGCTGTGTTCCCATCACTATAAAGTACTCAAGGAGGAATCAAAAGCCAGTGGAAACGGTCGTACTTTGAGGTGTAAATAATTTCTTGTACAGAAACGACTAACCTCATTGAAATCACTTGAAAACAATGCACAACAGTAGACAACCGAAAGCTTCAAATGAATGATACCTGACAGTAAACATGTTTTCTGGGTCAGACTGTCAGCGACCTCATGGCCTGTGTTTACAGAAACACCACCAATTTAACAACAGTTTCGATTTAAAAAAAAAAAAAAAAGGTGACGGAAACTACGATTTCAAAATGTATATAAAAATTTCAAGTGCATTCTTATCTCAGAAATTTAAACTCTAAGAAACTACATACGCGATTATCAAGTAGAACGCCGTTCCTCTGTCTCACGATGCCACTGGCATTGCTTCCCACGCACTCTGAGCGCCATGATCCAGGTGAAAGGCGAAAATCAGAGGGTTTGCACGATTCCCTTTATTACTGAAAATAACCATTTGAGGTGGAGACACCCGGCCTGCATGTTTTAATGGAAAACTCTTACCAATACATGAACTGTACTAACACCAACAAAAATGCACTTGTTTTATTCATAGAATCTCAGACTGTCAGAAATTTAGGAACTTATCCAAATCCCTCTGTTCACAGATAAGGGAGAAATATTTCAAAGATGGTGGGTGATTTTCTCCAAGGTAAAGCAGCCCACGCACAGGAGGGTGGGACCGATCCCTGGGGCTCCTCCTACTGTTGGCTTCCTGTCTCCTCTTAGTCAACCTAAGACAATCAAAACTCTTGTCCTCTCAACGTTTTCCTCAACTCTACTCTCATCTTCAGTTACCTTCTCAATCCTCAAATCCAAAGTCTGATGGTATGTTTTGTGTGGGGCCATTCTGAATGAAGGAGTGGACTAAAGAGTAAACAGGTGGCTAGTTTTTCATGAAATCCTAACATATTTTACCCACAGTCTCCAACGAATACTTTTATGTAGCTAGACACGAAATTCTACCTAACTCAGGATCATTGCTACCTTACTAGCATTATAGAGAATCACTGGGGTTAGCTACATGGATTCAAACAAAAACTCTAAAGCTGCAAAGCAACTAGGCAATGATCCCCATCTACCTCACCTTCTCCCCACTTCTCTCTCTCTCTCTCTCTCCCCCCCCCCCCACGTCCCCCCCCCATTATCAACTGGCCCATCTACTTCATCTGAATCCTCACAGTTCATCCACACCCTTAGATGGAACACAGGGAAAAATGCACCTACCTTGTGGCCTCTTGCTGAAGCCATGACACATTTGGCACATAGAACATGACCCCGAAGAAAAGCAGAGGCTCATTAGCGAATTTGTCCAGATGTTTCTTCAGAGGCTTCTCCAGCTCCACCCATCGTGCTTGCTGGCTCTTGCTCAGAAACCAAAGGCCAAAGTAGTGCGTCTGGATAAAAGGGCAAAACAGCATCAGTTCATGCGTATGACGACCATCACCGGACCATACAGGACACGAGGCTCCAGTGCCTCATGTCACCTTTGGTTCCCCAGCCTACACACAAGGGTCCAGCTTTTACTTTCTAACTTGGGGACAGATGACAAGGAGGCCACATGCACAATACAATTATCTACACCGAGTATGCGGAGGCACTATTCATACCCATTGCTGCCGTTTGTGCATGTGGGTGCGGTGCTGATGCCCCTACGTTAGATTAGGGGTGGTGCAGGGTGCAAACAGTGCTGACTTGTTCCTTAAGATCTCAAGGCTGACTGTCCTGTGGCTTCTGAATGCCTCGTCACCTCAGGTGGAGCACGCTGACAAAAGCAAATACGGTTCCTGCACCTGCTACAAAGTAACTGATTACTCAACTCCTCAGGCAAAACCTGCCAACCGAAAGCTTCCACAGTGGAGAATTACTTTCATCCAGTACCAGATTTTAACTGAAAATGGATTCATTCTTTTTGAGCTTTAATGGAGTCCTAACAAAAACAAACAAACAAACAAAAAACCACCTCCACTATTTCATTATACACGAACTGCAGCAAACCTCTCCCCATATCAAGCTTTCGGAATGGAAGGGTCCCCTTTGCAGCTGCCACAGGGAGCCCATGGGGGCTGCTCTGGAAGATTAGGGTGGGATTTGACAGATGAAAGTGAGATTTTCACCCTTAGACTTAAAGCCTCTACCAGTTTAGTTTGGGGCAACGTGCTAACTGATTAAAACAGGTACTTTTATGCATCCAATCCTGTCTTTATATTAATTAATGCTCAGATTTCAGGATTAGCACAACAATCGCCAAAAAATAGATCACTGCTTTTGAAGCATTCTTTTATAGTTCAATTACAGCCTAGAACGCTTTGCAGCACACCTGGAAATCTGCCTTCAAAAGAATGTTTTCATTATAATGTTTAATTTCTAAAGGCATTCTTGTGCAGATGTTCCCACCCCAGCTGGCTGCCCCCTCCACGGTATATACCACAGACCAACCCTGCCACAGCCCTACCAGAATCTGCAATCAAGCTTTGACTCTTGACTTGACTAGAAAAGCAGGCATGTCCTTGCCTCCGTAAGCTATGATCCCCAACACTCTAAGGATATTTTTAAATGATCCTTTCCGATGGGAACACTGATCTGACCAGCTTTTCTCCATGATGTTCCAAAGGGCAAGTTCACATCAAGAGTCCATGCATTTCTCGAGCAACAAAAAGCCAAGGTTCCATTTCTATCAACTGAGACAAAGTTGCCTGAGTGAATTCTGACCCTATTGTTCCGTTCCAAGCTCCAGTGAAGCCATTAGTTGTTCCAATGTGACTGATGATGTAGAGGAAATGAAACGTGGCTGAGCGGAAAGAAAACAGGCTTTGAAGTCAAGTTCCTCTCCCAGCTTTTACACTCACTCAGTAACTGTGTCCGAGTTACTGAGCCTCCCAGAGCCTCCGAGCTTTCTCATCTGTAAAATGGGGATAAGGATTACAACCATCACCCACAGACGCTAGGGGTGTAAACGAAGTGATGCCTGCCAACCGAATGTGGGGGGAGACACATCTTAAGTAACTAATTTCATGAATGGTGCCTTCTGTCGCTGCTGCTATCATCATCATCATCATCATCATCAAATGAAACCAGGCCAAGCCTCAAGAATCGTTTTCATCAGCACTACTGGCATCCCTATAAACCACAGAATTAGAAAACAGAGGTCATCTGGAAATAAATGCGAAAAAGCAGGCAAAAGTAGAAGATGGAAGACCTATAAAATATCCCATAAAAATCTAAAAGGTATAAGGAAAAAAACCCTAGGGAAACAGTGCCCCCCTAAGATTTTCTTTAGAGTCTCATTATAGGCGTTAATGGGACACTGGACCATCCCCTCTTGTGCTGTCCTAGGGGATCTATGACACAGGCTTAGGCTAATCTTAAAATGAGGTAATTGAATAAACTGTCTGGAAGCGAAGTTCAGCATTCTACTGAGTTCCTTTCTGGCGCCCTGGAAGGGTATTTCACCGTATTTTGGGTGGCTGGCAGTGAGTTTGCATATAATAAATAAGGTAATAGATGTAAATAGTAATGTGCTATGCTATGGGATAATTATTTTCATTGGGAAAGAGCTCTTTTATAAGCATGGGTGGAGAAAGGGAGGACAAACTTGGCAGCTACTTAACAGGCCAACCATGATTTATTATCTTGCACTAAATGTGGTCTTGACATTTGGGGGGCATATCATTTTATGGTCCAGACTTCATTCAAATTATACCAGTCATTCATTCAAATTAGGAACTATCAAATTATAAAAGGTCCACAGTAACTCTGTAAATATTCTACGGTTGATTTTTCAAAAGAAGATTAAAAAAAATTTATTTTTACTGCTCCTATGCTTTGAAAGCTAGTATTTTACATTTCTTTTTCTCTTTCCCACCCACCAAATCATTAAACCAGACCTGATCTTCCAAAAAAAAAAAAACCAAATAAACAAAAAACACACATACATGTGCATACATTGAAAAGGAGGATGATAAGATACAACAGAAATCATGATATGGTAATAATCGTAAGACATAATAGTACAGAGCTCTAAATAACAAGGAAAATCACTTCTAATGCAAAAAATTTAACTCATGGGGCGGTCGGTTAGGTCAGTTGGTTAGAGCATGGTGCCCATAACACCAAGGTTGCACGTTCGATCCCTACGTGGGCCACTGAGTTGCACCCTCCACAACTAGATTGAAACAACTACTTGACTTGGAGCTGATGGGTCCTCGAAAAACACAGTGTTCCCAAATAAAAATTTTTTTAAAAATTAAAAAAGTAAACCAACAAACAAAATTCATGGCATACGATTTTTTTGTTGTCGCAATACAGCCTTTTCCATAAGACACAGGATATTTCAGGGAGACTCACCATGTATTTAGCCAATGAAATAATTTCAGAACTACTCAAAAAACAGGGTTTCCAGAGCAGGGTAGAATAGGAGGAGACAGGCAACCTGCAGGACACCGTTTACCTACTTTTGGTCAGAACAACCTAATTTGAGAGGCGCTGAATTCAGTTATCAAGTGAGAAGGAAAGTCCATTTACGAGATGCCCATCCCCACACTGTTCTGTGAAGCTATGCCCAAAGTAACCTCCTCCATTCCCGCCACTAGCTATATCCCTACTCTGGAGTGTTCAGTAGAGGAGAAAGACTGTCTCAAGGTTCTTCCCCTGCTCTAGTCAAGTTTAGACTGCAGCCCACATTTATTGTGCCACGTGTGTACAGGGCGTCACAGGAAGTGAAATCAGAACCTAACAACTCACTGAAAGTACACTGTGCACCAGCCGACTTCCTGTGTATTAGCCAAGGGCCCATCAATCCCATCAGGCCCGGCTGGGACCACACCGGGCCTGTTCATAACAGATTTGCCAGTTTAAACTCCAGCTGAATGCCGGAAGTTGAGCTTCACTCCCAAACATTGCCACATGGTGGAGGAGAATGTGGTAGGCGATTCCAAACGGAAATCATGTCCTCCACGACCAAAAGGATCCACTGTATTGACCGGGTAAATGACAGGGACGCCTGTTTGGTTTATCTCTGAGGCACCCAACATAAGCCAGGTCCATCTCATCCTCATGAAACCTCTGGGTAAGCTATGAATCCCATTTTATGTCTCAAGTTTTCTTTAGCAAACAGCTCTGGTGCCATGAATTCTGCAGTAAGTTCACTGCAATTGTGAGAAAACAAGACAGGAGAACCCTGGTTCCCTGGGAGAGAAACCACATCTCTGAATCAACTACTAAAAATGCACCAGCACCACCAAGAAAAAAAAAAAGCCACACTAAATAGTCATTTTCATATGAGTAGTTTCCTGGTTTACTTGGTTTGGAGTTTTGCATTTTAACCCAGGAAGCATAAGAGTATGCACACACTAAAAAATATGCTAGTTTCTTGTGGCAGAATGGTGTGTGAGCACTTTAGTGTCCTAGCAAGAGCCCTCTTCCAGCATCATGAAAAGATGATTGTAAATAACAGCCTTTAAAAACAGTTTGGGTGGTTTTTTATTCATTTGTTCATTTGTTTATAGAGAGATGCTTTATCCCCTACATTGGCTATTAATAGGAGAAAAAAATGTTTGAGGGTTTTGTTTTTCCAGTTTTGTGACCGAGGGCACAGCTGTAATGCTAACCATTTGTAAGGGTTACAGACACAGTCTTGGCAATTACTAGATTAAACCCACGATCTTATCGCAAGCATTTTGTGGAGTTAATCATCCAGAAGCAAAAGTTTAAAATTTCTGGCATTAATTTGTAATAGCTTGCCTGTAGTACCCAGTATTTCAGTTGTAAATTAAGAAACAGAGAGTTGGGGACGGCTGGTTAACTCAGTTAGTCAGAGCGCAGTGCTCAGAACACCAACGTTGCCGGTTCGATCCCCACATGGGCCACTGAGATGCGCCCTCCACAACTAGATTGAAACAACTACTCGACTTGGGAGCTGATGGGTCCTGGAAAAACACACTATTCCCCAAAGAAACAGAGAGTAAGTATGCCTCCACATAAAATATGCAGGAATTACATAAAGCACTAAAACTTCCACTGAGGCATGGAAAATACTTCAAAAGATGACGATAGGCAGACTCTGAAACAGCGCCTCATGCAATTACATTCCAATGGCTTTGGAAAATAAACCACTGTGCATCAGTTGGATAACTATAAAAAACAACTTGTATGCAATCAACCTCTGCTTTGGGTAGGTCTGGGTTTTCTGGAACTGACTCGTCTATAATTAACAACGGCACCATCTTCACTTTCCTAGCCAATCTCTTCATGAAAGTACAGGAAAAGAAATTGCAGAGTAACATAGGCCTGAGAAGCAAATCTCATAGTCAAGAAAAATCACACTTCTGAGGTTGCACAACTCACTCAGAATACACAGAAGGAAGAAGACCTCTATGTCTAGAAAACAGACATTGGT